GGCTTGAACCTCTGGAAGTTCTCTGTCAATATACTGCTGCAAACGTTTCTGAATTATCTTCAGAATGGAAAATGAATTTGCTCTGTAAACTTTCACCAAAAACACAATTTCTAAAAAAAGGGGGTGGGGGAGCACAAGAGAAAATGTTGCGTTTTAAACTTTTGGATATTTATGCTCTAGTGAACCAAACAACTTACTGCATTGGGCAAATCTACAAAAGATCTCTTGAAAGTGCTAAAGAGCAAAGATGTCACCGTGAAGACTAAGGTGTGCTTGACCCAAGCCATGGTATTTTCAATCACTTCATATACTTGTGAGAACTGACAAGGATAAGGAAGACTGAAGAAGAATTGATGTTTTTGCATTATGGTATTGTCAAAAAATATTAAATATGCTGTGGACTTCCAGAAGAGCGAATGTATCTGTCTTGGAAGGAGTTGGACTATTCCTTAGAAGTGAGGAAGGCAAGACTTTGTCTCTCGTATTTTGGTCATGTTGTTAGGTGGGACCAATGCCTGGAGAAGGATATTGTGCTTGGTAAAGTAGAGGGTTAGTGAAGAAGAGGAAAACCCTCAATGAGATGGATTGACACAGTGGCTGCAATGATGGGGTCAAACACAGCAAGATTTTGAGGCTGGCGAGGACCGGGCAGTGTTTCATTCTGTTGTACAAAGGGTTGACTCAGCAGTCTCCAACAACCACCCCAACAATGAACCAAAGCTTTGCTCAATTTAGTATACCTATGTGTCATGCTCTGGTGGCATAGTGCCTAAGGCACTTGACTGCTAACCAGAAGGCTGGCAGTTCAAACCCACCAGCCACTCCTCAGAAGGAAGGTTGGGCAATCTACTTCCATAGTGATACTGCCTCGGCAACCCAAGGAGGGGTCGCTATGAGTCAGGGCCGACTCGACGGCACATAACAACAACAACAACAACATGTCATAGTATGCTAAATTGAGCAAAGCTTTGGTTCACTGTTGGGCTGGTTGTTGCAGACTGCTGAGTCAACCCTTTGTACAACAGAATGAAACACTGCCTGGTCCTCGCTAGCCTTAAAATCTTGCTGTGTTTGACCCCATCATTGCAGCCACTGAAACCCAGGGAGGAGTCGCTATGGGTCGGGTCTGACTTGAGGGCACATAGCAACAAGCAACATGTGTCGTGGTCAGAGCCCCATTGGGGTAACCTATTTGTGTGAAAACCATATCTAAAGCAAAGTCGGGACAAATGACCTGATCACTGTTAAATTGGGGGTTTGAAGAAGCTCTAGCTATATCTCACGTCAATCCCAGCAGTGCCCTCTGAAGCCACTCCATAGAAATATACCATCAAAGGAGGAAACAGTGTGGTAACTACATAAACATGACTTTAAGAGAAATCCCATAGGCCTCCCTTTCAATCAAATTGTCACCCTTATCCAGGAGCTGCCACTGGCAAATAGTCTGAATTATGGGGACATTGAAAAAGACTATTTGAAAGCAGAGCTGTACTGGGAAATCTGGGATTTGTTACTTCAGACAGTGGCTGCACCATCAACCCTACACTTCTTGTGTTCTGTTTTAAAACATACACCAAAATTCTACTTTTTTAAAAATAATTTGTTCAAATTCAAAACTAGATACTTGTGTGTGCTAAAGATAATTCAAAAAAAGTAGCAGCAGTATATTGATAGGGAACTTCCAGAAATGCAAGCTGGCTTCAGAAGAGAACTGGAATGAGGGATATCATGCTAATTGTCAGATGGATCTTAGCTGAAAGCAAAGAATACCAGAAAATGTCTATTTGTGTTTTATTGACTATGCAGAGGCATTTGACTGTGTAGATCATAACAAATTATGGACAACATTGCAAAGAATGGGAATTCCAGAACACTTAATTGTGCTCTTGAGGAACCTGTACATGATTGAGAGCTGTCATTCAAATAGAACAAGGGGATACTGTGTGGCTTAAAATCAGGAAGGGTATATGTCAGGGTTGTATCCTTTCACCATACTTATTCAATCTGTATGCTTAGCAAATAATCCAAGAAGCTGGACTATAGTGAAATGCAGATAGCACAGCCTTGCTTGCTGAAAGTGAAGATGACTTGAAGTACTTACTGATGAAGATCCAAGACTGCAGTCTTCAGTATGGATTACACCTCAACATAAAGAAAACAAAAATGATCACAACTGGACCAATAAGCAGCACCATAAACGGAGAAGAGATTGAAGTTGTCAGGAAATTCATTTTACTTGGATCCACAGTCAATACCCATGGAAGCAGCAATCAGGAAGTCAGACATTATCGCACTGGGCAAATCTGCTACAAGGGACCTCTTTAAAGTGTTAAGAAGCATAGATGTCATTTTGAAGACTAAGGTGTGCCTGACCCAAACCATGGTATTTTCAGTCACAGGCATATGAGAGCTGGGCAATGAAGAGTTGATGCCTTTGAGCTGTGGTGTTGGGGAGGAATACTGAAAACACCATGGGCCAGAAGAACAAACAAACCCGTCCTGGAGGAAGTGCAGCCACAATGCTCCTTGAAAGCAAGAATGGCCAGACTTTGTCTCCCCTACATTGGTCATGTTGTCAGAAGGGACCCTTTCCTGGAGAAGGATAGCATGCTTGGGAAAGTAGAGGGTCCGCAAAGAAGGGGAAGGCCCTCAACAAGATGGATTACACAGTGGCTGCCGCAATGATGGCTTCAACCTTTGATAACAAGGGTTGTGAGGCTGGTGCAGGGCTGGGCAGTGTTTCATTCTGTTGTGCATGGGGTCATCATGAGTCAGAGCTGACTCAATGGCACCTAACAACAACACCACCTATGTGTGTGGGGGGTGTGTGTGTGAGAGAGAGAGAGAGAGAGAATGAATTAAGCAGGAATAATCAAGCTTCCCTGGCCCAGACTGACAAAGAATCAAGTACTCAGTGGAACCTGGATGGTCAGTGAACGTCTCTGTGGCTGGCCACGCACACTGGCACTCCCTGCTCCAAGCTGGGAGGCTTCTCACCATCCATTCTTAGGCTGCAGCGATATGCATGGTGTTAGCAGATTGACAGGTAGATTTGCACTGTTTTCCTAGCTGTCGTTTCTTAGTTTCTTAAAAGAGCACAAGTATAGGCGAAGCAGAAACCTTTGAGTTTTAGGAGCGCTTGGCTTTTGCTGGTGGTTTTATTTCCACTATTGTTTTAGGCACTTGACTGCTAACCAGGTGGTTCAAACCCACCAGCCACTCCTTGGAAGGAAGATTGGGCAATCTACTTCTGTAGAGATACCGCCTCGGAAACCCAAGGAGGGGTCTCTATTGGGTCTGACTCGACAGCACATAACAACAACAACATTGTTTTCTAGATTAAATATTCCTAAGAGCACTTTAATTCCACTGACAAAACGGGACCAGATGAAGCTGGACAGTATCCTGAGGAGACCTTACATTACCTGCCAACCATTTTGGAGAAAAGAAGTATGTGTCTTTTTAAAATGGATTTTTTAATGCATATTATTGAAATATAATGTATGTACAGTGAAGTACACAAAACTAAAGTGACATGAGTGTTCTGGTTACCTAGTGCCACTCTGACAAGAACATACCACAAATGGGATGGCTGAACTAACAGGAGTTTATTCTCTCATAGTTTGGAGGCTTTAAGTCCAAGTTAAAAGTGCCAAGCTCTAGGGGCTGGGTGAAAGCCCCTCAGCCTTGGGATTCAGCTCTGCCTCCAGCTCCCAGCCCACTGAAGCTAGAGGCTTTTCTTCACTCAGACAGCTGCTGGCTGCTAAGGCTAATAAGCCCAAGGTTGACTAAAAAGCACAGTCCCGATGTTACCAAACCACACAACAGGCTATTAATTCAAATCCATCGTAAGTCCCCAAGTCGGCAGAGCATGACAGGCTGCTGAACAACAACCTGGCTACGTGCAGGGTTCAAGCATGCCACAAGCTAGAGACCATTCCCAAAGCTCTTCTTATATACGGGAAACAGACCCTATACCCAAAGCAGCTACTCAGCTGCTTGTGGTAGATGCCACCATAGAGTTGACTGCCAGTCTCATCATGGGGAATAACTACCACCAGCTGCCCAGCCACTCAACCAGGCCCAGCCAAGTTGACAAACAAACATAACCACCACAGTGCCTAATCCACTTCTGTATAGTTCTTTCAAAGCTCAGGGCTCCAGGATTATCTTCTGTATTTCTGTCAACTGGTTTTTCTCTTCTTTGTTGAAGAGGGTCTGTGTCACTTGTCTGCCTATTCCTCCATCTTACCGGAAGTCCCCCTATAATGGAAATGTTTTAAGTTTGACTGCCTTTTGCTTTAGTAGTGGCTCTTCATATAATACTTTGAAAACAGCCTCGTTGGAATGTTGTAGAGCCGACAGCCATTGTTAGTGTTGCCTGGCAGTAAATAGTGGTTAAAGCATCGAATCGTATGAATACTAGTGAGACCAACAGAATGGAGACGGTCCATTTTCAGCCTCATCAGAGTTCTCTAACCATCATCTGTGGCTGTATCATTGGCTGGGGTGGGGGGTGGAAGAGGAAGAAAAAGAAAGCATTTTAAAGAGCCCAATCCACTCGTAGTTACTGAAGGCACGCATAGTAGATAATCCCCGATAGTTTTAGCTATAGTAGCCCCAGACAATTCCAGCTGACCCTAAAGTCTGCTGGTCATGGTTTTGGAGAATAAAGTCAGTCTGGATGCAGCGTTTGTTGGATCGACAGAAATGCAGGAAGGAGCTCTCTCTGACTGTATTGTACTTTTGTTTACAGATGGAAATAATGACAGCGTCGAAAATGAAGGCAGAAATTCAAGCTTTGACCTTCATATCATCTGATTACCTTTCCAGAGTATACTTACCTAACAAATTAAAGTTTGGAGGATGGATATAAAAATGTGTCAGAAGGATCTGTTCTGTTTTAAATGGTAAATAATGTTGTGGAAGGAACATATTATAAGGGTTAAATAACATAACTTCTCGCTAGTATCTTTTTCTCCAAATAAATGCTATTGTATTATTCTCCAAATAAATGTATTGTAATTTTCCTTAAAGGCTACATTTTATTCTTCTCTATAGTGATTAATTTCTCTCCCATGGTTAAGTCAGTTGTAAAAGAATATGTTACTTTGACTTTTCAGTTTTATTTGGAAAAACAATTAGTATTTTTATCAATTATTATTTTCAAACTGAAAAATTTTTTTCTTTCTACAATATAACTAATGTTAAGGTATGAAATGTTTCATTAGTGACAGAAAAATAATGATAATTACTAAACTTTAGATGCTAAACTATCCAGGAATCTCTTCTGAGTGGCACAGCCCTTCGCCATCAAGTGTAAGGCAGTGCCCCACTCCTTCCTTCCCTTATAGAATTAGTAACATTTATTATGAATCAGTGTTGGGGTTGATGTCTTTAGGGTTTGGTTGCATTTTTTAACATAGCTTTTATTGATAACATTCTCTCTTTAAATTTTTTTCCCCCAGGGTTTTAATGGGTTATCGCTCCACTTGTTGTTGTTGTTATGTGCCATAGAGTCGGCTCAACTCATAGCAACCCCTCCTGGGGTTTCCGAGGTGGTATCACTACAGAAGTAGATTGCCCATCCTTCCTTCCAAGGAGTGGCTGGTGGGTTTGAATTGCCAGCTCCACTTAGTTCACTTGAATTCTTCTCTAGTCTGGGTTTATAGAATAAAGAATTTGAGTTTTAGACTTACAGAAGCCAGTCTGCACAAATATGCCAACGGACCGCGGGACCATCAGGGAGGTCACTGATTCTGTCAACGTGCATAACCCCTCCCAGTAGGCCCACTAAGCGAAGCTCAGCTTTTCGAGGTGAGAAAACGGACGAGGAATTATTGTTGAAGGCACATGGTGGCAGACATGTCCAAGAAACACTGCGGGGATCTGATCCCTTCGTGATCTTGTGATAGATGAGTGTGTGCAGACGGCGACAAGTGGACAGCAGGACGATACCGGATGGCAGTGATCTGAGCAAATGGCAGCCACATGTTAGAAGCCTTGGAATAAGCATGTGCGGTGGCTGGCTGTGTCCAGAAGAGAAATCGAGGGCGCCCACGTTCCCCCCCACCAAGGGTGTGTTTCGCTATGATATGAAAATGAGGCTGTTCACATTCTTCGAAGGAAGTTCTTCTGTTAGCTAAACTTTTGTAATAGTTCCAAACCAGAGATCTACAGAGGCTGCTTTTCAGTCAGGCACTTCTCTCACAGGATGTGATCTTCCCCAAAATCTATCGGAATTCTTCCAGGGATGAGTTTTATTATTTTATTCTGTATATCAGTAAACTTTAACTGCACGGAGATTGTAATTGTCATCTCTTGTTCAGGTAGTCCCTGACCTATTCAAGTTACGATGAACCACCTTTACAACTATTTTGTACATCCTTTCCTCTGGTAGCATAGTGCCTAAGGCACTTGACTGCTAACCAGAAGGTTCAAACCCACCAGCCACTCCTGGGAAGGAAGGTTGGGCAATCTACTTCCGTAGTGATACCGCCTTGGAGGGGTCACTATGAGTCGGGTCTGACTCGACGGCAAAACAACACCACCACCAATCCTCCGTCATATGTAACACAATGTTGTACACATAATTTGTTGATGTTCTCATTCCCAGATGTTCAAAGATTGGATTTCTAGATACTGGTAATAAAAGGCAATGATAATGAGAAAAAAAAAAAGTATTCACTAATGTCAGGACCCACTTACAATGGACTTGTGGAAATAGAACCCCACCATAAGTCAGGGACTACCTGTTATTGAATTGTAAGCAAGAATATGCATTTATAGGAAAAGTATAGAAACATCGTGTTACTCACTTTACAAAGAGCAATGGTGACAATAACAGAAAAACAATAAAAATACCATTCTGGGCACTTGTATGTACCAAGCTACACACACACCTTATTTACTTCTCCCAAGAGCCATAGGAAGTTGGTAACATCCACAGTCAACAGGTGAGGACGTGAGGCTGTTACGTGTGCAGTGTGCAGAGCCACCCAGCCAGAGTGTGCAGAATGGGTGCAAGAGCAGAACCAGCTCCAGAATATGTGGGAGCCGGTGCAAAATGCAGAATGTAGCGTCCCTTATTTAAAAGTGGGAGTGCTGGTGGCCCAGTGCCTAAAGCATTTGACTGCTAACCAGAAGGCTGGCGGTTCAAACCCACCAGCCACTCCTGGGAAGGAAAACTGGGCAATCTACTTCCGTAGTGGTACCACCTCGGAAACCCAATGAGGGGTCACTATGAGTTGAATCGACTCGATGGCAGTGAGTTTGGGTTTTTTGGAGTTTATTTAAAAGTTATTAAGAATTTCAAGATGAGGAAGCAAAGAATTAAACCAGTGTGGGACCCTTAGCATGAAGCCCTATGTGATTGGACATGTGTCACACACCCTGGAAGCTGGCCCTGCTCAGGAGGCTGGAGTAGGGATTGCTTTTGTACTACAGTTTGGGTGAAAGTTTGCAGAGCACATCAGTTTTCCAGTCGACGATTTATGCACATTTTGTTTCATGACATTAGTTGCAATTCCTTCAGGGTAACAGCACTCTTCCTGCTGCCTCCCAGGTCCATTTGTCTTGGTCTCTTCCTGCCTTCTGAGCTGTGTTTTTGGGCAAATGGTGCCCTTTTGGTCTCGTTTGGTTGCTGGAACGGAGGCGCATATTCCTCCCTGGTATTGTTACTCACTTTATAGGCCTGTCTGTCGTTTGGCTGAAAGTTGACTCCTGCAGGTGGCTTCAGTTCCAGGCTTGAAAGTTGTCTCAGGGCCACAGTCTCCAGGGCTCTGCTTGTCTCTGTGAGACCAGTAAGTGTTCCTTATGTTTTTCATTGTGTTCTACACTTTTGCCTCTCCCTCTCTGTCCAGAACTTTCTTTTGTGATTCTGATCAGAGCAGACAGTAACGGTCGTGGGGCACCATCTAGTTCTTTGGATCTCTGAGTATGGAGTAAGGATTATTGTGCTGGTGGTATGTTCAGTAGATTCCCACTCATGGCTACCTATATGACAGCATAGAGCTGCCCTGTAGGGTTTTCTTGGCTCTAATCTTTACAGAGGAGCTCTGGAGCACACTGGTTAATGCATCTGACTGCTAATCCCAAAGATCGGCAGTTTGAACTCACCAGCTGCTCTGTGGTAGAAAGATGAAGCAGTCTGCTCCTGTATAGATTTGTAATCATGGAAACCCTATGGGGGAAGTTCTGCTCTATAGGGTCGCTGCGACTTAGAATTGACTCAATAGGAGTGGGTTTGGTTTTTAGGTTTAATCTCTATGGGAGTAGATCACCAAGTCTTTCTCTCACACAGTTGCTGGGTGAGTTTGAACCGCCAACCTTTTGATTAGCAGCTGAGCACTTAACCACTGTGCCAGCAGGCTTCCTGTAGTGAGGATCGGACAGCAGACAATATAACAACAAAGAAAATGTTTATATGGCACTTTATGTACCAGGCATTTTCTCACCCACTTTGTGATCATCAGCTTATCTCATCTTCACAGAAACTGTATGAGCTAGGTGCTTTCATCATCACCCCTGTTTCACAGGAGAGAAAACAAAGGTACAGAGAAGTTAAGCAACTTTCCCAAGGTCACACAGCCAATCGACAGCATGAACTTGCACCCAGAAGTTCTGGCTCCAAAACCTAGGCCTTTAACCTCTACACTGTATATTTCCAAGTTCTAGTACAGACTTCACACCTGGCTGGCAGCACCCTGCTTGAGAAGGTCCATGGTGCTTACTGTCTGCTAGATGTCAAGTCACAAGCTCCCTGATGCCATGCCTCCCGCCTGTCACTGCAGAGCCAGCATTTCATTGTAAGAGCATACTGGCATGCCGCTCATTTGACTGACTTGTGAGACTATCAATAATTCTAAAAACGTTTTTATATATTACAAAATATCTCTCTGAATTTATATCATAATTCCTCCCTTAATGCCAAATAATATCACTGAACTTGGATGAGTTTTGCCAAGGAGAAAGAGCACTAACAGAAAGATATGTTTAAACCACAAAAGTCTGGATTAGGATATACTGTCAAAATGGGAAAGGATGAAAAATCTACAGTAGTTGTGAACATTTGAAAATAAAATTGAAAAAGGCTAGTTTGGTGTCGTTACAGAACTTCTACATGGTAGGGAAGTCAAGACAACTACAAGATAGAATGGACTGTTCTAAACTTGGGAAGAAAACTAGAAATCACAGGGTAACCTCAAAGTAAAATGTAAACCTTCATATCAAAAAAGAGGACCAGCATAAATATTCAGCAAATACTAAAACAATAGCAATGAAGGAAGTGATAACAGGATTCATAAACAAAAGGAGCTCAG